CCCTCCCCCCCCCAACGACAGTCCATAAAACAGCCCCCCCCCGCAGCGCCCCCCACCCCACCGGGGGCAAGCAGCAGATGAGGGATGGGGTGGGGTAAAAGGGGATGAGTCCATGAATGAGCCCCCCCGGGGCTGGGGTGGGGGCTGCCAATCACCCTCCCTCGAGACCCACCCCACCCATGGCAGCTCCATGGGGGCTGGAAGCAGGGTGGATGGGAGGGGGACAGGCACCCCATTGGCATCAGGGGGGGCTCCAGGGCCAGCCCCCCCACCCCATCCTGGGGACTCAGGGCAGGAAGACACTGGGGGGAGTGGGGGGTGAGGGGGGTCATTGGCAGGCGGCCCCCCATTCACATGACGGAGCAGCTTTTTGCCTTCTCCTTCTTGAAGGTGGAGGAGATGAGCTCAGAGCGGCTGGGGAGGTGCAGGAGTCTCTTGGAGAGGCTGCGGGGGGGGCTCCGAGGGGGCTGCGGGGGGGGTTTGCTGAGGCAGATGCCGGACACAGTCCGGAAGATGCTGTGGACGCTCTTCTCTGAGGTGAAGGCCGAGCACTCCAGGTAACCCTCTGCTCCGAGCTGTTTGGCGGCCGCACAGCCCTGCAACAGCCTCTGGTGAGGCCAAACCCCCCCAGAGCACCCCAACACCCCCCCCCGGCACCCCCCAACCTGCTCATAGGAGATGGGTGCCTGCTTTTGGTGGGAGAGCTCCATGAGGGTGCTCAGGTCTGTCCTTAGGTCTGTCTTGCAGCCGATGAGCAGCACCCGCGTGTTGGGGCAATAGTCCAGGATCTCTGTTTTCCACTGCAGAATGGGAGGGACACGGTGCTGGTGTCAGTGTGAGGGGACCCCAAAACAGCCTCCCCCCCCCCTCCCCATGCCCCCCACACCTTCTTGGCCGCGCTGTCCAGGGTCTCAGGGCGGCTAATGTCAAAGCAGAGCAGGACAGCATCCGAGTCACTGTAGCAGAGGGGACGCACGTTGTCGTAGTAGGGAGAACCTGGGTGGAAAAGCGGGTGTCACCACACAGCACCCCCATAAAGGACCCTGGAGGTGATGGCAAAGGGTCACAGCCCCCCTTTGCCAGAGCTGGGGGGGCACACGCAGCTCTAACCCCCCTCCAAAGCACCACCTCCGCTCCCCGCAGCCCATCAGCGACGGGAAATGGATCCCGTGGTGTTTATGTAACAACCACCCCCCCCGCTGGGGAGCCCCAACAGCAGCACCGGGCCTTGGGGGGGCAGCGGGACATGGGGGGACCGCTGCCACCCTCCATGGGGTCCCCAGGGAGCCAGAGTCACTGGCACCACCGCGGGGACCGCAGGGAGAGTCAGCACGGGGGGGGGACACGTGGGGGCAGTGGGGAGCCCCTGTGGGTATTGGGGTGCCCCGGGGGGGGGCCATCGCCACCCCCAGACCCCGAAGGGCCGCGGAGGGGGTTTCGCAGCCCAGACGCTCCGTGCGTGGAATAGCAAAGAGGCTGCGCCAGCGCATCGCCATGGCAACGCGGGGACCGCGGGTGGCGGGGACCCCCCCTCGGGCGGAGGGGACACTGCAGCACCCGGGCAGGGCTGTCCCGGCCCCCCCAGCGCCGCGGGGAGCGGCAGATCCCGGGGTCCCCGTTACCCCCCCATTCACAGGCAGCCCCGCAGGGACGCAGCGCCCCAATATCGAACGGGGGGGTCATAGGGATGGGGAGACCCCGTTAGGAAGGGGGTTACCCTATGGCACCCCATGGGGCCGGTCCCCGGGGGGGCCCTATGCCAGCCCCCCCCCCATTGCAGGCCTCCCTCTGCTGCAGCCCCCCAACCCCATAGACCCCAAACCACCCTCTCCCGATAACCCCCGCCCACACCAAGCCCCACCAGGGCCAGCGTTGCCCCCGCCCCGGAGGGAACCCCCGTTCTTGCACCCCCCCGGTACCGGAGGGAACCCATCCCAGTGCATTGACCCCGGTACCGGAGGTGTCCCAGAGGCTCAGCTCCACCCGTTGCTCCTCGCTGGCCAGACACGCTGTGTAGTTCTCAAACACGGTGGGCACGTACGTCTGTAACGGCACCGAGAGCGTCAGCGCCCGGCCCCGGTGCCGGTGCCCGGTGCTGGGTGCCGGTCCCGGCTCACCTCGGGGTAGCAGTCCTTGGCCAGCACCTGCAGCATGGCCGTTTTACCGCACTGCACATCGCCCACCAACACCAGCTTGCAGCGGGCCGGGGCCGCCGGTACCGGCCTCCGCTCCCGCATGGCGGCGGCGCGGAGGCCCCAGCACGACACCCACCCGCCGGCCCTGCGCCCCGCCGCAGCAGCGCCCTTATATAAGCCGCCGCCGCCGAGCCCCGCCCACGGCGGCGCCCGGTAGCCAATCACCGCGGAGACTCCCGGCTCGCCGACCAATGGCTGAGAGGAGGGGTCCGGCCTGGAGCCGGTCCTCCAAGCCAGGGGGCGCCCCGTCTGGCTGACCGCGGAAGCGGGGCTCTGCTCCCGCCCAAGCCGGAAGTGGCGGTTGCTAGGAGACCGGCGGGACGCCGGTGGGTGCTGTGGGGCGCATTCGGTACCGGGATCGTGGACAGGGAGGGGTGAAGGGGGGGCTGGAGGGACCCAAAAGTGTGGGTGGTGTTAGAGGGGACCCCAACGGGGAGGAGATGGGGGGGTCCGGGACCTCCCGCCTCACCCCGTGCACCCGGGCACAGCCGCCATGGCCGGGAAGCGCCGCTCCCGGGCAGCAGTCGCCGTGTCGGCGGACGACAAGCTCCTGCTGCTTCAGAGCCAAGCGCTGGCCGAGGAGGAGGCGGCCAAGAGGAAGGGGGAGATGCTCACCCGGTTCCTGAAGGTACCCGGGGGGCTACGGGACGGGGTAGCCGGGTGCCCCCTCCCATTGCCCCCGCTCCTGCTCACGGCCGTGCCCCGCTCAGCACAAGCTGGCCCAGGAGGAGCAGAGCAGCGCCCTGAGCCTGCACAAGCTCCACGAGCAATGGAGGGCGGTGCTGCGGGAGGCCAAGGCCTCGGAGCTGCGCCGGGATGTGCATGTCCTCAGCCGGGCCTTCGCACGGGTCATGGACTGCAAGGACGGCGTCATCGAGGTGAGCGCGGGTCCGGTGGGGCCGCGGCAGCATCGGGACCCCCCGCGCTCTGTGACAGCCCCGACCTTGCAGGCCCTGGCCGCAGACCTGGAGGAGGCGGAGGAGCAGCACGGCCGAGCCCTGCGCAGCCACTTGCTCAACGTGGACCGGCTGCTGCAGCTGCAGCGCTGCCGCCTGGCGTGCCTGGAGGACGGGTACCGGGCCCACCTCCAGGCCATGCAGGCTGCCTTCGAGGAGGAGAGGTGCGGCAGGAGCAGGGGGGCAACAGTGGCACCCGCTGCCTGTCCTGTGCTGGTGCTGAGCACCCCGCTGGAGCCACCCTCTGCCAGCAGCTCCCCTGTGCTTCCCACAGGAGAACCATCGTGGAGCAGCATGAGCGGGAACGCTGCTACCTGCAGGACGTGGCGCTGGGCACGGAGCAGAATCAGGCCAAGAACGACTTGGACATCACGCTGAAATTCCAGAGTTCCCTGGACGACATCAAAAACGAGGCAGGGGCAGGGGCAGGAACCGGCCGGGAGCCTTCAAGGGTGAGGTTTGGGGAGTGGTGGCTCACACGCTCTGTGCCTGTGCCCATGCCCAGAGTCTGCAGGAGAAGCAGTACACCCACCTGCAGATTGGGGCAAAGCTGGAGGAGCTCTGGAAGCAAGTCCAAAGCACCCTGCAGGGCTATGCCGAGGACACCGAGCAGCAGAGGGTGGCTTTCGAGGTGCTCAAGCAGAAGGACGAGAAGAGCTCCAGGGAGGTGGAGATGCAGACAAAGAAGCTGCAGAAGCTGCAGGTTGCAGCAGGGCACAGGGGTGAAAGTGGGGGCACTGGGGACCCCATCCCCATCCTCGTGGCCCCGTCCATCACATTCCCACTGTCCCCAGGGCTCGATCACAGCCATCAGGAGCCGACTCGTGGCTCTCATCCAGGAGAGCGAGGAGCAGAACCGGCGCATGCGGGAGGAGAAGGAGAAGGTCCTCGGGCAGCTCCGGGAGCTCAGGACTGAGATGAACCAGATGGGCACTGATGCCCACGACAGCCTCCTCAGACTCACCCTGCAGAGCGGTGCTGCCCTCAAGGCGCTGGCACGGGTGACGGAGAAGGTGAGAGGTGCTGGGAGCCCCTCAGGGTGGGAATTCCACCTTCCCAGCCCTCCCTGCCCTCTCTTGCATCCCCCCCAGGCCCAGCACATCCTGCGCCTGGCCGAGATGTGCCGCAGGATGGAGACGGAGGAGGAGAAGGTGCTGCCCTTTTACCCATCCTCGCTGGAGGAGGAGGAGGAGGAAGATGCCCGGCAAGTCCTCCAGGAGACACCAGTGGAGGCACTGGCCTGGGTGAGGAGCTGAAGCCCCCCGTGGGGCTCGGGGCCGGATCCGGGCTTGGGAATGGTCCATGGCCAGGCTGAGGACCCCTTGCCTTGCCTCTCGCCCAGGCCGTGCAGGACTACGCCGGGCTGGAGCGCTTCTGGCAGCGCTTCAACAAGGCGAAGCTGGAGGAGCAGGCGCTGGAGCAGCAGAGGGCGGCGCTGAGCCGCAGGAACCGGCGCCTGCGGGACCTGCTCCGGCGATACCTGGACGGGATCTCCATCCCGCAGGAGGTGCTGAGCGAGCCCAACCCCCTCCTCGCCGTCAAGCACAAGAGCTGCATCCCCAGGGCCGTGCCCCACACCGGCGGTAACTGCGCTGTGCACCCCAAGACCCACCTGCAGCCCATCCATGGCTCCACCAGCACTGCCTGAGACCCCCCAGTGCAGCCCCGGACACTGCAGTGACTGGGACAGCCTGGAGGTGCCATAAAGGAGCTAAATTGCACACAAAACTGTGCTCCGGGGTCTTATTTCTGGAATAAGCTGAGCTTTGGTGTGGGTCTGTCACCTCCCGCTTGTGTTCAAGGTGTCTCTGCCCCTCAGAGCCGCATGCAGCCATGGAGCAGCCACAGATGCCCAGGGAAAGGATTTATTTCCTTTTGGCTTTGTTCTTCTTCTCTTCCTTCATCTTCTTCTTGGAGAGCTTGGTGCTGCTGGCCTTGTGGTAGAGGTGGCACCCGATGAGCCCCAGCAGCGCTGGCACCAGCCCCAAGCACAGCAGGGGCACCACCTTGTTCAGCACCTTCTGCCAGTAACCGGCGCGGGACAGAGCCACCAGCTCCACCTCAAACCGCAGTACCGCGTCCCCTGCGATGGGGAGACAGAGCCTCAGTGGGGCTGGCGGAGACCCCACGGGGACCCCAAGGGGCTGCACTCACCTGGGATGGACGGGGGAGACCCCCGCTTGCCGTAGGCCAGGTGAGGGGGGATGATGACTCTCCGCTTCTCCCTGCCATGGTGAGACACTGTTAGTGCCCTGTGGGGCTGGACTCACACCCCAGGTGGCCCTGGGGACACTCCCCTGTGCCCCTTGCCCAGCTTACCCAACACACATGTCCAGCAGACTCTGCTCCAGGCCTGTGAGGAATCGGGGGGTAAACGGGTGAGCAGGGCTGGCCGGGGGCACCCCAAAGCCCATTGGGCACAGGCAGTGACATCCCTCGGGACCCCCTGTGCTCACCGGGGATGACCTGGTGCTTGCCCAGCTCCACCTGGAGCGGGTCCCGGCTCAATGAGGTGTCAATGATGCGGCCATCGTCCTCCAGGCTGCCCTGCGGGGACACCGGCTCCATCACCGGCACTGGCACCGGCGCCCGGGCTGGCTCTGCCCCACACAGGTACCGGCGTTGTCCCACTGCCACTCCAGGCAGTTCCCGTTGTCCTCCGCAGGACAACGCAGATCCTGGTGCCATCCCCATGCCCACCCCGATGCCACCCTGGGGACCTCCCCACGCTGCTCCTAGTGCCAGGGTCACCCAAGTGCCACCCCCTTGCCATCCTCACGCCTGCTCCTGAACCTCCCCGGCACTGCCCCTATGCCCACCCCGGTGCTCCCCCCCCCGGTGCCGGAGCCGCCCCCCCGCCCGGCGCAGCGCTGTGCTGTGCTGACGTGTTCCTGCCGCCGCGCACCGTGTAGTGGATGTGCACCGTGTCCCCCGGCGCCGACAGCTCCGTGCAGCCCTCGGGGGGGGGCACCTGCAACGGGACGGGGTCACGGGGGACCGGGACGGGGTCACCCCATCCTCGGGGTGCGCGGACCCCGCTCCGTGCCCCCCGGGGCCCCGTGAGCCGCACTCCCTGCTTCGGTACCCCCAGCGCAGCCGCTTCCCTCCGCTGCTCCCGTTCCCCGCCGCACCGCCGGGGTCCCCACTCTCCGGTACCGCCCGAGGGCGCCGCCGGGGGGGTCCGGTGCCCGGTGCTCCCCGCGCAGCCCCAGTTCCCGCGCTCCCCTCCCGGCTCCCCCGCGGCTCACGAGCGTCTCCAGCCGCAGGTCCCGGGCCCCGGTTTCGGTTTCGCTCTCTGCGGCGCGGGCTGGCGGCAGCAGCAGAACCAGCAGCAGCAGCAGCGCGGCGGGGGACGGCATGGCCGGGCTGGCGGCGGCGGCGGCACCGAGACCGCCCCGTCCTGCCCCGTGCTCACCCCGGGCCCCGCCTCCCCCCCCGGGACCGCCCCCCCGGGACCGGTCTGCGGGACAAGCAGCGAGCTGCGGTGGGGACGGAGCGGGGGGTTCCCCCCACCGGTGTCCGGGACACACGTCCGCCTGTGCTCCGGTGCCGCACAGCCCGGGCTGCCACCGAGCACCGGTGCCCATCCGGTGACTGCCCCGGTGATCCCCGCTGAGCCGGGCGGCGGGCTCGTCCCAGGGCAGCGGCGGCGGGACCGGTACCAGCAGGCGGCAGCAGAGCCCGGAGGAATCGGCACCGAGCAGGATCCGGCTCCCGTTGGTGCGGAGCGCCCCTCGTCCCGCACCCAGCGCCCTTCCCGGCCCCCTGCGGGACAGGGGAAGCTGAGCTCCGCAGCGGGCCCTGCACGGAGAGGGGCCCCCAAACCCCTGCCCCTGGGGTCACCGCAGAGCCCTGGGGAACACGGGAGCAGCCCCGGCTCGGGAGGGGACGCTGGGACACGGGGGCAGCCCCGTTCCCCCGCCCTACGCCGGTGGTGACAGCGGCCCCGTTGCCGGCGCAGGCCCCGGCGCAGCTCCCGGACGACAGCATCGGCACGCCGGCCCCACGGGCGCCCGCACATACCAGCCCCGGTTGCCGAGAGGTGGCGAAGCCGCGCTGGCGGCGGGGGGACGGGGCATTAATGGGATTATGGCCGCCGGGTCAGCGCCGCGCCGGTCCTCACCGCACAAAGGCACCGGTGGGAACCGGCTCCGCGGCTCCCAGCACCCCGGGGAACCCCGGGCACCGGCCCCCCCCTTCCCGTGCAGGGGGAACCCCCAATGCGGTGGCAGCAGCACCAACCCAAAGGGAGATACAGGGACGGGGACAGCAGCGCCGGTCCCCTGCATAGGTCCTGACATGGGGGGGCTGAGCCCCACTCGCGGCCATGCTGGCGCTGGCACCATCCCCACGCCCTGGCTGGGATTAGCACTAATGGGATTTACCATTTCATCCAATATTCTCCTAAGGATGAGCCTGGGAAAGGGGAGTTCCCCCCCCCCCCAGCCTCCCCTCGCCCCGTTAAGCTCTTTCTAATTAAACCCAACCCGGTGCTGTCCATCACTGTCCCCTCCCCAGACCCTGCGCTGGGGGGGGCTGTGGAAGAAGAGCCGTGGGGCAGCCCTACATAAAACATGTTTAATATCCAAGGGGGGCTGGGGGTCACCCACCGTCTCAGGCGCAGGGAGAGGGGGCTTGGAGGGGGGTACACACGTCCCTGGACGGGGCAGAGCCGCAGCAACACGTCACACCAAGCACAGACCGGGGGTATAAATATGGTGCTGGGGGGGTACAGAATGGGGCCGTCCGTCCGTCTGTCCGTGAGGGGCTGGGACATACAATCACGATGCTGGCACAGGGATGGGGTGCAGGGGAGGAGACCTGCCTCGAAGTGACATGGGGGGGGCTGGGGACGTGTGGGACCCCCGGGGTGGGGAATGTGGGGTTGGGGGGGGAGGGGGTGTATAGTCCCAAATCCCCCCTGCGGCCCCGCAGCCCCCACATTTGGTCCAGAGGAAGGGGAGGGGGCATGCACGGGGATGGGGTACCCCAGCGTGATCCCCCCGGGCACCCAGCCCCCGTGTCCCCCCCCAGGTACGTTCCATAGAGCTGTATTTCCACACACGCACACACGAGATCCGAGGGGAGACCCCAAAACAAGGCGGAAAAAGACCCCCACAGCAACCGGTGCCAGAAGAGAAAGCAAAACCCAACCGGGGCAGGGATGGGGGAGTCCGGGGGGGGGGCCCCGGGGACACGGGGGGGGCGGCCTGCAGCCGCCCGCCCGCTCACTTCTTGTTCTTGAGCTGGTTGGCGAGCCAGTCGAGGCCCTCGTAGAGCCCGTCCCCGCTGGTGGCGCAGGTGGCTTGGATGTACCAGTTACGGTGGCGAAGGGAGTGCAGCCCCAGCTTGTCCGTGATCTCCGCCGCGTTCATGGCATTGGGCAGGTCCTGAGGGGAGAGACGGGGCTGCCACAGGGACCCAGACACCGGCCCTGACACCCCAGGGATGGGAACAGGCACCCAGACACTGACCCTGACACCCCGGGGATGGGCACAGGCACCCAGACCCAGACACCAGCCCCAACAACCCAGGGATGGGCACAGGCACCCAGACACCAGCCCTGACACCCCGGGGATGGTCCCAGCCCCACCTGCTTGTTGGCAAAGACGAGGAGGACAGCGTCCCGCAGCTCATCCTCCGCCAGCATCCGCATGAGCTCCTCCCGTGCCTCATTCACCCGCTCCCGGTCGTTGCTGTCCACCACGAAGATGAGCCCTGGGGACAGCAACCGGGCGCTGCTGGGGGCGCAGGACCCTCGGCCCCACTGTTCCCCCCGTCCCCAGTGACCGTATCCCCCCCGCCCATGTCCCCGCGGGGCACCTACCCTGGGTGTTTTGGAAGTAATGCCTCCAGAGGGGCCGGATCTTGTCCTGCCCACCCACATCCCACACGGTGAAGCTGATATTCTTGTACTCCACCGTCTCCACGTTGAACCCTGTGAGGAGCAACAGCGGAGGGAAACTGAGGCATGTGGGGGCCACGAACCCCAACCCAAGGAGCCCCGATGGGGAGGGGTCTGTGCCCAGTGACCCCCCAAAACCCTTAGCCCTGCTCACCTATGGTGGGAATGGTGGTGACGATCTCCCCCAGCTTCAGCTTGTAGAGGATGGTGGTCTTCCCGGCAGCGTCCAGCCCCACCATCAGGATCCGCATCTCCTTCTTCCCGATGAGGCTCTTCAGCAGGTTCCCGAAGATGTTGCCCATGGTGACGGCGGCGCTGGCTCCGTCCGCAGGCGAGGCCGGATCCTGCGGGGGCACAGGGCTGGGATTGGGGGGGGACCCTCAAAACACGGAAAGGGGGAGGGGGTGCAGACATTGAGGACACCCCTGTGTGGGATAGAACCCTGCGGCCATGGGGCTGCTCCGACATGAAGGGGCCGTGCTGGGGGTGCCCCCCCCGCGCTGCACCTACAGGGGCCAGGCCAAGGCTGCACTGGAGGAAACTGAGGCACGGACCCAGCACTTCTGGGGGGGTGAGGGGCGCACAACCGCACCCCCCCCAAACCCCGACCCCCCCCGGGCTGCAGCCCCCCCGCTCCGCGGCGGGCCCCTCCCGCCCCTGAGCTGCTGCCGCCCCCGTTGCTCCCCCCGACCGCATCACACCCCTCCGCTACAATGCGCCCCTCCAACGCACCCCCATTGGCTCGCACCGCCCCCCCAAACCGCTTCCCCCCCCCCCCCGCATCACCCCCGGAGCGATGCCCGCAACCCCCGGGGGTCCGCATCCCCAAACCCCGCCGCATCCCCACCCCCCCGGGCCGTGCAGAGCCCCCCCGGTGCCGCCCCCACGCCGATTCTCCCCCGCCCCCGGTGCTGCCCTCCCAGACCTGGTGCCGGTGCCGGTACCGGTGGCTCCCCCCGCCCGCAGCTGACTCTGCACCGCTCCCGCCGCCGGAAGCGGAGGCCCGATCGCGCCGATCTCGCGAGAGCTCCCGGTGGCCCCCCCCCCCCCCCCTTACTCCTCCTTCCCCCCCCCCAACCCGCACTCCGCTTCCCGCCCCCCCCCCGTACCGGACCCGGGGGGATCGCGAGGAAAGGAGGGGCGCGGAGCTCGCGAGAGGCGCGAGCCGTTACCATGGCAGCGGCTGCAGCAGTGCGGGGCGGGGGGGGATGCACCGGGAGGGGGGGTCCCGGTGACCCCTCTATGGGCACCGGGGGCAGAGCCCCGGGGGGGGAGCTACGTGGAGAGAGGGGTGCCCCGGGGACCCCAGAACCGGCACTGCTGGGACAGGGATGAGCCCCCCACGGGGACCCGGTACCGGTGGTACCGAGGCGTCCCCGGTGCTCAGGGGCCGGGCGGGGGCCGTCAGGGGGTGCGGGGCTGTCCCGGTCTCCGTCCGTCCCGTGCTCGGAGCGGCGGGAAGGGACCCGTGTCCCCCGCCCCTCCCGCCCCACCCCGGCCTGGCACCCGCGGCGCCGCCCCCCCCCCCCCCCCCCCACGGCTGCGGGAGCCGCTGCGTGCTCCCGCGGGCACCCCGGGGCTGAGGGGGGAGTCCCGAGCATCACTTCCTTCGTCCTGGGTCCGCCGCCAAACGGGACGGGGGGAGCAGGGGCGCGGGGACCCCGGGAGGGTCCCGGGATGGAGCGGGGATGTCTGGGCCTCGCCGCTGGTGGCACGGCCCCGGGCAGGGCCCTCCCTGCCGCGCCCCGGGGCCTCCCCGCGGCCGCTGACCTCAGCCCCGGGAGCCCCGATGGGGCGGCGGCCCGAGGGCGCGGACACGGCCCGGCCCGGCCGGGAACCGGGGCGGGGGGAGTGCGGGAGCCGCCAGCCTGGAGCAGACCCCGGGCCGAGGGAGGGGTGAGGGGGGGTCCCCGGTGCGAGCCCCCCCCCATCCGCTGCCAGCCCGGGCTTTGTCCGCCCTTGAATTGAAATGGAGAGCGGCGGCCCCGGGCCGTGACGGGCGAGCGGGCTAATCCGGCCCCGCATGACTGGTCCGGGGAAACCGCTGCGGGGGGATTACCCGCCCCGCACCCCGCCAAGACGGGGGGGGCTCAACTCAGGCCCCCCCATCCCTCCGGCCCCGCACCGGGGAGTTCGCACCCGGGCGGGCAGCGGCTTCGTCCCCACCGAGAATTGCGGGCACGTGGGGTCCGGGTCCCCATCTCCGTTCCGCTCCATCCCCTCATCCCGACCCCCGCTCGGTGCCCCGGGGCACGGGGCTGCACCCGCTGCGGGCGCCTACGGCCACGTTCATGGGAGGCCCGGTGCGCAGAACCGGCCGTCGGGCCCCGTCCACAACCGGCTCGGGACGGAGATCGCGCCCGCCCCTTCGCGCCGGGCACGGACCGGGAAGGGAGAGGGGTCCGGCGCAGCCCCGACGGTCCCTCTCCCTGGGGTTGCGTGTCTGGTCCCCGCCCTCCGAACCCGGCTCTCCCGGCGCGGCGCCCCCGGGTTGTCCCGAGCTTCGGCTCCCCGGTGCGCCCGGGGCTATCCCGGGAGATCCCCGCGCTCCACTCCCCCGTGCGCCCCGGGCTGCCCCGGGGGATCCCGGGCCATCCCCGGCCCCAGCTCCCTCCGTGCTCCCGGCGCTGTCCAGGCCCGTCCTGGGCTACTCCGGGTCCTGTTACTGCTTGCGCCGGGACCTGTCCTGGGCTCCCCTCGCCGGGGCCGGTGCGTGGGGAGGGCGGGGGGCGGCAGCCGGTGTCCCCCTCCCCGCCCCATCGGCCGCGCTCTGGGCACGGGGCCGGGGCGCAGCCACCCGCCGGGCTAATCCGGGCCGTGACGGACAGGCCCGGCGCCGCCGCTCCGGTCGCCCCATAAGAGGTGCCGCGGCCCCGCCGCTCCCCATTGTTAGGGCGAGGACGCGGGGAGGCCCCGTTCGGCGGGACCGGCCCACGGGGACCCTCCGCGCCGCCCCTATAAGAGGGAAGGGGCTGGAAGATGCTCCCGGGTGCTGAGCGCTGCGCACCAGCCGCGCCGAGCCGAGTCCAGCCGCGCCGTCTCCCAGGGGAACCGCCGGGCACCGCGCACGGACCGCCCGGCACCGGTACCGGGCAGCGGGCACCGCGCACGGAACCCCCGACGCCGCGCTCCAGGGACCGTGCAGGGAGCTCAGGGCCCCGCAGCCCCGACGCCGCTCCCCGGGCATCGGCTGCAGCCCGTTGCCGGTGGAGCGGTCCCCGCGTCCCCCTTCACCCGCCCGCAGCGGAGCCGCCCGCCCTCCCCGCGCCCCGCGCGTCCGGAAACACGCGTGGATGTAGCGGCCGGGCCGGGGGCTCCGCGGCACCATAAATACCCCGGCGGCCGCTCGCCCGCGCACTCTGCCGGGTCTCCCGGTGCCGGAGCCATGCGAGCCGCCGCGCTGGGGCTGGCGCTCCGGGCGCTCTGGGCGCTGGCCCTCTCCTCCCTCTCAAACACGCTGGCGGTGAACAACAGCGGGCGGTGGTGGTGAGTCCGTCGGTACCGGCAGCAGCACCGGCACCGGAGCAGGGGGCGGAGCGGGGCTTGGCACCGGCACGGCGGGGGCTGCCCCGTAGCCAAGGATGGGGCGCGCAGGTGCAACCGGGGGGGGACCAACGGGGCTGTGACCCGCGGCTGCGGGTCGGAGGATGCTCTGGTAGCGGATCAGAGGGGAGGGCTGAGGCAGGGAGCGGGATGCCGGTGCTCACCGTCCCCTCCTGTGCCGCAGGGGCATCATCAACGTGGCCTCGTCCACCAACCTGCTGACGGACTCCAAGAACGTGCAGCTGGTGCTGGACCCCAGCCTGCAGCTGCTGAGCCGCAAGCAGCGCAAGCTGATCCGCCAGAACCCCGGCATCCTGCACAGCGTCAGCTCCGGCCTCCAGACCGCCATCAAGGAGTGCAAGTGGCAGTTCCGCAACCGCCGCTGGAACTGCCCCACCTCGCAGGGTCCCAACATCTTCGGCAAGATCGTTAACCGGGGTGAGGCCACGGGGCGGCGGGAGGTGGCGTGGGGCTACCCGCCCCCCCCCCCCCCCCCGCGGCACCCCAGAGCCAGGATGCTCTGCAAAGCACCCTCGGTTCACCACGGGGCATCGCCAGCTCCCAGCCCATCAGCATCCCGTTGTGGCTGCCGGTTGGGGGTGCCGCTGGGTGCCCCCTCTTCATCCCAACAGCACCCTGAGGCCCTGCTCTCCTCCGCAGGCTGCCGGGAGACCGCGTTCATCTTCGCCATCACCAGCGCCGGTGTCACGCACTCGGTGGCACGGTCCTGCTCCGAGGGTTCCATCGAGTCTTGCACTTGTGACTACCGGCGCCGTGGCCCCGGGGGCCCCGACTGGCACTGGGGAGGCTGCAGCGACAACATCGACTTCGGGCGCCTCTTCGGGAGGGAGTTTGTGGACTCCAGTGAGAAGGGCCGAGACCTGCGATTCCTCATGAACCTGCACAACAACGAGGCTGGGCGCATGGTGAGGGCACAGGGGGGCTGCACGCAGCACCTGGGGGGGGGGGGGCACGGCCACCACGGACCCTACCCTGTCCCCATGCACACACTGGGAACCGTTACAATGGGATTTCCCACCTGGCTTTGGGCAGGCTGAGCACGACGCGATGCTGCTGGGCAGCGGGGATGCCGGAGCTCACGGTGCCCCATGCCCTCCCCATCCTTCCCCTTGCAGACGGTGTTCTCCGAGATGCGCCAGGAGTGCAAGTGCCACGGCATGTCGGGCTCCTGCACTGTGCGCACGTGCTGGATGCGGCTGCCGACCTTCCGCGCTGTGGGCGACGTCCTGAAGGACCGCTTCGACGGGGCTTCCCGCGTCATCTACGGCAACAAGGGCAGCAACCGGGCCTCGCGCGTGGAGCTGCATCACCTGGAGCCCGAGAACCCGGCCCACAAACCCCCCTCGCCCCACGACCTCGTCTACTTCGAGAAGTCACCCAATTTCTGCACCTACAGCGGGAAGACAGGGACGGCGGGGACGGCCGGGAGGTTCTGCAACAGCTCCTCGCCGGGGCTGGATGGGTGCGAGCTGCTGTGCTGTGGGCGTGGGTACCGCACACGCACCCAGCGTGTCACTGAGCGCTGCAACTGCACCTTCCACTGGTGCTGCCACGTCAGCTGCCTCAACTGCACCAACACGCAGGTGCTGCACGAGTGCTTGTGAACCCCCCCAAGTGGGACCCCCCTGCACCGGCCCTGGAGGGGGTCTGTGCCACCCCCAATGACGAGTGCCTGGTGGGATTGAAGGCACCCATGGCTGTCTCTGTGACCCGCTGTGGCCTGGCCTGGCCTGGCCCACCCTGGGGCCAGCAGCCGGTCTGGGGGCTCGGTGCCAGTATGCACCGTCCCAGGGACCCCCATCCCGTTCTTACTGTAAATACAATATTTATTGTGGATGGTTTGATGCCACCCCCCCCCCCCAAACTTTGCTGGCCCCAGGCCCTGTTTTTTATAATGAAAGATAATAATAATTAATAATTATAATTAATAATAATAATGCTGCTTTGTTCCAGGTTTCACTGATAGCCTTTAGAGAAGAATAAAGGATATATTTTTATCAGTCCTGTGCTGGTTCATTTGGGGGTGCTGAAGAAGGGAGGGAATGAGCAATGTTCCCCTGTCCCCCAAGCTATGGGGCTAGACACAAGCCCCCTACTGCACACGTCCAGCCTCTCTGTCCATCCATCACCTCTGCATCCACTGGCTGCCCACCCTTCTCCTCCTCTCCTCTCCCCTCTCCTCCTCTCCGTCATCCCCATCCCCTTCTTCCTCCCGCTGTGCTCGTCTCCAGCCCCAGCCATCGCCGCCGCCGCTCCTGGCTGGGGCGTCCATCCCCATGGCCGGGGAGCCCATCACCATGGCTCCTGGGCTTGCGGTATCTCCAGCACTGGAATTTGCTGGGGCGTCGGGGCTGGTGCCGCCAGGGCCGGGCGCTGGGATCGGCCACGGGAGGTACAAGGCAGCAGACAGGGAATGAGCCTCGTCCATCACCGCTGCTGGCCGGCGCTGACGGCTCCCCTTGGCTCCGGGGGAGGAGGGGGGCCAGGGAGGGCACTGGGGTTATGGGGGCCGGGGCCAGAGGGCCGGGACCGGCCACTGGCCCCACACGCAGCCCCACACTCATGCGTGGGGTCTGGCTGCAGCCCGAGAAAGGCCGTGGCAAAGGTGGGTGCAGCTCCGCGGCTGGCAGGTGCCCTGGTGGCATGGGCATCCCACCGGGATGGGCTCCTCCCTGTGATAGGCATCCCACTGGGATGGGAATTCCCCTGTGACGGGCATCCCACTAGGTAGGGTAACCCATTGGGGTGGGTGTCGAACCAGAGTTAGTATCCCACTGAGATGTGCATTCCCATGGGATGGATTTTCCCTTGGGATAAGCATCCCACAGTGCTGGGCATAGAATGGGCATCCCTGGGAAGGGCATTCCTGTGGGACAAGATTCCCACTGGGATGGGTATCCCACTGGGGCTGGCATCCACTGGGGCAGGTGCAGGGCTCACTCACACCCTCTGCTCCCTAACTCCACACCTTGGACGTAGCTGTAACCTCTGCCCCTTCATCCAGCCCGGGGCCACGGTGACATCCAGCCCCAGGGATGCCCCAGTGCCCACCTGCAGTGGGGGGGTCCCCGCTGCCCCAGAGCTGGGGCGGCATCAAAGGCTGAGGAATGACGCTGCCACCACCAGAAATATCCCCCGGAGCTGATAGTGGAAAAGTTGATGGTTTAGACCCAAAGGAGGGGGGAAAAATAACCCCCGGGGGCCCCCGCTGTACACGCCGAGGTGGAAGAGCAGAAAGAACTGCGAGGAAAAGCGACTGGAAAGGAACACATCCCGAAATAGCCCTGGGAGCATCTCCCGCCTGCCGGGAGTTATCTGCCTGCTAAATTCTGCACACGCACAGGGCATGAAAATAGCCTGTTTTCCTGCGGTAGGGAGTCAGGAATATAGATAATGACATTCTTATAAGTCACCTCTGTTACTCAGCTTTTCCTGCGGGCCGGTGACGGCCGGGCACCGCAGCGACCCCCGGCCTGGGGCGCCCCGGGCATGGGGTGGGGTGGGGGGGAGCACCCGGCTGCAGGGTCCGGACCTCCCCGGCGCGGACACATCCACCCCGCGCTGGAAATAGCCGCTGCCGCAGCAGGGCCAGGGAGAGGGACAGGGACAGGGCGGTCCCGCCCCGCGTCAGCCCGTCACATCTGGGAATCCGGGGAGCAGCTGGATGGTGGCCACAAGCTGGGCCTGATGTGGGATGGGAAGGGCTGGGGCGTGGGGGGGGGGGTGTCGGTGCAGGGGTGCGGGACAGAGGGAAGGTGCTGTTCCCAGAGATGGGATGGTGCCCACAGAATCAGGACAGAAGGGCAGGGTGGCACGCAGGGGTGCAGGACAGATGGATTGGACAGTGCCCAGGGGTGCAAGACAAAGGGACAGTGTCATTCCAAGTGGTGCAGGACAGAAGGACAGAGCCATGCCCAAAGGTGCAGGACAGAGAGACAGGACAGTGCCCAGAGGTTCAGAACAGGACAGGGCCATGCCCAAAGGTGCAGGACAGAGAGACGGGACAGTGCCCAGAGGTTCAGAACAGGACAGGGCCATGCCCAAAGGTGCAGGACAGAGAGACAGGACAGTGCCCAGAAGTTCAGAACAGGACAGGGCCATGCCCAAAGGTGCAGGACAGAGAGACAGGACAGTGCCCAGAAGTTCAGAACAGGACAGGGCCATGCCCAAAGGTGCAGGACAGAGAGACAGGACAGTGGCCAGAGATTCAGGACAGGACCATACCTAAAAGTGCAGGACAGAGAGACAGGACAGTGCCCAGAGGTTCAGAACAGGACAGGGCCATGCCCAAAGGTGCAGGACAGAGAGACAGGACAGTGGCCAGAGATTCAGGACAGGACCATACCTAAAAGTGCAGGACAGAGACAGGACAGGGCCCAGAGGTTCGGGACAGGGCAGTGCCCAGAGGTTCAGGACAGAAGGACAGGGCCACGCCCAAAGGTGCGGGACAGAGGGACAGGGCTGTTTCCAGAGGTGCAGGACAGAGAGAGCCATTCCCAGCTGCGCCGACTGCCCGGTGGCATCGTCCCACCACCGGGTCCATCCGCATCCCATCGCCATTGAACCGAGCCCCATCCCGGCTCCCCTCGCCCTCATCCCGTCAGCTCCCGGCTTGTCCGGCCGCAGCCCCCCCCCCCATCCATCCACCGCATTCCTCCGGCGAGGGGCCAAGGCGCCCAGCAACGGTGGCAAGGGCTGGCCTCTAATCCCCGGGGCATGCCAGCCGCGGGGGGATCGTCGCCATCACCCACTCCCTCATAGGTGACCAATGCCCGAGACGAACAATTAGGGACAAAGCTGGAGCCGCCGGGGGCTAACGCCGGACTTCACGGGTGCCTTGTGCGAGTTTAATGAATTGTCCATCATCCCTTTGAGCTCCGCTCGCCTGGGCTGGATTAATCTGAGAAGCCGCAGTGGGGAAGGAGCCGCTAAGCCCGTATTTATTACTCTGCCATTGTAACTAATTGAGGTAATTATCTGTGACTCCAACCCCACCACAATGCGGCATTCACCGCATCCCCCTTCCCTTCCCTTCCCTTCCCTTCCCTTCCCTTCCCTTCCCTTCCCTTCCCTTCCCTTCCCTTCCCTTCCCTTCCCTTCCCTTCCCTTCCCTTCCCTTCCCTTCCCTTCCCTTCCCTTCCCTTCCGACCGGGCACAGCTGGCACCGGCAGCGCGACAGGGCCGGTGCTGGCGCTTGGCACGGTGGGATGTGGTTCAGCAGGGATGTGGCATGGCCACGGTGTGGCCGGCACCACACGCATACAGGAGCCATCAGTGTGCGCTGGCACATGCGGGTCACGGTGTGGCCCGTGACGGTGACACACGGGGGTTATGGGGTTACAGGGACACCGGTACAGGCACGGCTGCTGCTCTCTGGTACGACTCGTGTCCATACGGCCCTGGGGACACCGGCACCGCTGACACACGCGAGTCACGGCTCTCTGGGGAGACCGACACCAGAGTGGCCATTCCGGTCCCTCTAGCAGGGTCCCCGCTCCCGGGGCGGGACCCCCGGTGCCCCCCGGTGCTGTCGGTGCCGTCGGTCACCGGCTGCGCTGCGACACCTGGCGGCTACGGGCGGTACCGCGGCCCGGTGCGGGGACTCCGGTACCGTACGGGTCACTCCCGGTGCCACCCGTGGGCACCACCGCTGGCAGCGGGGAGCGGCGAGAGCCGGGGGGATCCGGGGTGGCCCCGGGGGAGCAGTGCTGGCGCCGGCGCAGCCCGAATTAGAAGGTGATTTTCCCGGCGGGGGTTTGGGCAGGAGCGGAGCCACGGAAAGGGCCGCGCCGCTTCCCCCGCGTCTGGGACACCCAGGGCCCGGGCGGGCAGCGCGTCCGGGCCGAGCCGGGATGCACCGAGCCGGGATGCCCCGAGCCGCGCTGCTCTGCCCTGGGCTCTGCTGAGCCGGGTGATCTGAGCTGCCCATACCAGGATGTGCCGAGCCGTGCTGGGTCATGCAGCCGCGCGGAGCTGTGCCAAGCAGTGCCAAGGCCGGGCCGGGCCATACCGAACCGCATCAAGCCCTGCCAGGCCGTGGCCGCGGCGCGTTGGGCTCAGGTCACCGGCACAGCCCAGACCCCGGTGCGGTGCCAGGATGCGTGGGGTGACGTGGCCGCGGGGCTGCCCCACGAGCGGCCCCCCCCGGGTCCCCCCTGCCCCACGCCGTGACCTCCGGGCCGGTGTCACCGGGATAATGACAGGGTCGCGCTGGGGGGGCGGGGGAGGAGCCGGTTTTAAATAACGTGCAAATTGGCCACGTTATTTGTGCGGTTTCCTCTGGCCGCGGGGCTCGGCCCCCCCCCGCAGTGTGACTAAGAGGTGGCGGCCTCTCGGGGGGGGGACGACCGTGACTCACCCGGGGTCCCCCTCCGGCCGTGACGTGGGGCCGATGGCAGTGGGCCAGAGGTAGTGCACTCACGTACTCATTATGGGGAGGCCGAGGGGGGGACGACATGGCACTTCCCAGCCCCGCCGTGACCACTGCGGTGCCACCGGGACACCCGGGGCTTCCGAGTGACCCCGGCACCGCGGCTGGGGGGTTCGGACCTCGCTGGGCTGTGGGGCAGGAGCAGGGACTCGGGGGGCGCCTGGAGAGGGCGATGGCCCCCCCGCTCGTGCACACACAGGGGGCGAAAGCGGTGCATGGGGATCTCGCAGCCTTTATTGGGGTCAGCCCCGAGCCCCGCCCCGCCACACCCCGCCAAGGCCCGCCCCATCGAGCCCCACCCCGCCAAACCCCGCCCCTCAGGCCCATGGGGGGCTGGCGGTGCCTGGGGCGGCCCCGGTGCTCTCCAGGCTGCTGCTGCTGCTGCTGTAGGTGTGGGGGTCCCGGCAGTGCCGCCACCGGGACCCCCCCGGGCCCCCCTCGGCCTCGGAGTCGGAGTCGGGGGCCGTGTGCCGGCGGATGCGGGACACAGCCTCGCGCAGAGCCTGCGCGTACAGCACCGGCCGCCGCGGGGGGAACCGGCCCCGAGGGCCCCCGCACCCCCCTGGGCTGCGCCAGGGGCTCCGGGGGGGCTCCCGGGGCGGCGAGGGGGCGGCCGGGGGGGTGACAGCCCCGGGGGCACCGGGGGAGCTGCCCGGGGGGGCGATGGGCCCCGGGGACCCCCCCATGTACCGGACCTGCTGCCGCTGCACGGGGGGCACGTACTGGGCCCGGACCACCACGCGGGTGGCGTCGATGAGGACGTGGCCCCCTGCCTCCCGCCGCCCTCTGCCGCCCCCCGGGGCCCGGGCCCGGTTCCCTGCAGCCCGCGGCAGCGTTTGGTTGTGCCGGGGGCTGCCGGGGCCCGCCGGGGATGGCGGCATCCCGCGGGGACGCCGGAGCCGGGCCTCGGTGGCCGCCCGGGGCAGAGTGTGGCTCCAGCCACCCGGCACAGCCCCTCGGCTCCGCGGGGCCCGGGCGGGGCTGCGCGGGGCCCGGGGGGACCGGAGCTGCAGGGTGCGGTGGGGAGCGTCGTAAGCGGGGGGGGAGACATAGGGGGGCGGCCCCCCCCGGCGCGCGTGGGCCGCCTGCATCCGCTGCATGTGGGCCTCGTAGCTGGGGGGGCCCGGCCTGGCCCCTGGCCCTGGGGCACGGGGTGCGCACGGCGGGGGCCAGCCCCGGGACCCCTCAGGATGGCAGCGGGTGGGGGGTGCCCGGGGCCGGGTCTCACAGGCGGGGGGGGGGCGGGAGGCGAAGTCCTGCAGGTGATGGGGGTGAGCGGGGGGCCAAGGGGGGGCCAGCTCGGCCACGAAGCGCTTCTCCAGGTACCTGCAAGACAGAGACGGGGACGTGAGGGCCGGGAGACGCAGGGTACGGGATGGGACCCCCCCCCGCTCCGCTCGTGCCGCCCCCCCCCCGACTCACGCGTACTCCCTGGCGATGCGGCGGTAGGTCCATGGGGGCGCGGGCCCGCACCCCGCGGCCATCGCGGCGCCGGGGGGGCTGCAACACGCCACGGTGTCGATCTCCAGCAGCAGCAGCTGGGTCCGCTCCCGGATCCGCTGCATGGCCGCGGGGGGCCGGAGCCTCGCCGGAGCCACACGTGCGCCCCGCTGCCCCCCGCGCCCGGCCCCGCACCGGCCTCCCCGCGGCGCACGGCGGGGACCCCAACGCCCGTCCCCGGGGTGCTGCCCCCCCCCCCCCCCCCGGGATCCCTTCCCCCCCCTGCGCCAAAGCGGGTTTGGCACCGAGCACTGCAGCCCACGCGGGCTCCGAGCGGAGCTTAGCAACCCTCCGGCGGCGGCATGGCAACGGCAACGGCAACGGCACCGGCACCGGCAACGGCACCGGCAACGGCACCGGCAGCGGCACAGGAGCACCCCCCCGGTCCAGGCTCTCACCTCTCTCCCGAGCCCGGTGTTGTCCGCGGCCGCAGGCACCTCCTGGCCTCCCCCCCGGGCAGGAATGTGCCGGGCTCAGCACGGCCTCGCGCCTCCCCCTCCGGGAGAGCCCCACCGGGCCCCCCCCACACCGGGGGGTCCCCGCATCCACCTCGGCCCCATCCCGGCGCCAATCCCGGCCTTTGAGTAAAGCCACAGGCGGAACAAACAGGGATTTGGGGTCTGGGTGAGCTCAGCAGATTCCCCCTCACACATGGGGGGATGAAGCCCCTCCTGCCCCCCCCAGTGCCCCACGGCGGGATCGTGCCAGCTCTGTGTTTATTCGTGGCTTCTCTCCACACTGGAAGCGGTGCCGGGTGCAGACGTGGCCCAGAGTGGGCATGGGGGAGTGCTGGGGGGCACAGGGGGTGCAGGGGGGACGCCCCTGGCAGGACAGAGCTGAGTGAGGGCGATTAAAGCCCCAGATTCAGTGAAACCGCATGAGGGGGTGTGGGGTATGGGGGAGGGAACCTAAAAGAGGGCCCGCCCAGCACCTGCCAGGCTTTGGGGCACAAGGTGCAGTGTGGGGAGGTCTCCCCATGCAGGGAAGTGCTACCCCATGGCTGGATTATTGCTGGATGCTGCTGGTGAGTGGGGCCCCCAACCTGGGTGTCCCCAAGAGTAGGAAAGGGGGGGCACTGGGGGGGGCTGATCCCCCCACCCAAATGCCTCAGGGGCCCTGTGGGAGGACCAGGGCTTGCAGGATGTCTGAGAGGGAGACGATCCCCTTGACCACGTCGCTCTCGTCCACCACCACCAGCCGGTGAACCTGGGGGGGACATGGCGAGGAATGACGCTGGTGCAGAGACCCTGCCCCCCCCCATTGCCTGTCACCCCCGGGGTTCCTTACCTCTGCTTCCACCAGGCGGTTGATGATGGTTTCCAACGTCTCGTGCTTGTAACACTTGAGGACGCCCTCGAAGTAGTGGGAACGATGCTGCAGCGCCCGCGTCACCGTCACGTCCAGGTTGTTGTAGGTCTTCTCAGCCGCCAGGTTCTGGGGCAGGCAGAGGTGTTGGGGACACAGTGAGGACCCTCAAAACTCACAGAGCCCCCCCAAGCACAATCTTTGCCCCTTCCCCAAGTCCACAGCTACTCACAATCACGTCGAATTTGGAGTAGATGTCGACCACCCGCCCTGGGGAGGGAAAGGAACGGATGCCACGTGGATGGGGACAGCCACAGGGGTTGGGGACAACCACACACGTGGTGGCCTCACCCTAGGCCCTGTCCTCACCTGACTCATCGACAACGGGCAGCGCAGAGACGCGGTGCTGCACGAAGATGCCCAGGGCCACGTAGATGGGGGTGCTGGTGCGCACCACGGCGATGTTGCGGTAGGTGCCGATCTGCAGCTCCTCCAGCGTCTTGGCCATGAACTCGGGCTTTGGGACTTCTGCTATCTGCAGGGGACGGGGAGGGGGACAGTGCTGATGCTGGCTCGCCTCCGGCTGCCCCCGGCTCCTGGGGAGCCTGGGCCGTGGTCCTGAGGAGTGAAAGCAGAAAGCGCTGGGGGGGCACCGTGGGGGCTGGGGAACCCCCGGGCACAGGCAAGGTCCGGCTCCGGGGCTGCGGGCTCCATGCAGCGTCCTGGGAACCCCCCCTCCAACACCCACTCCTCCGCTCCAGTGCCTCGGTGGTACCTGGCACAAGCCGGGGCTGGGCTTGTTGCAGGGGGGGTCCCCGCCGCTGCCACGGAGCAGTGATGGGACTTACAAAGAGCTTGAGGAACTTGAGGATGCGCTTGTGGGTGAGGATGTAGAGGGTGTTCCCTGAGTCGGGGTCTATGACGGGCAGGCGATGGATCTTGTTCCGGATCAGGGAGGAGACGGCATCAAAGAGGCTGCAAACAGGAGGAAAATGGGACTGGGGACCCTGCCTCGCACCCAAGGGTGCTGCCAGCGCTGCCCCTCTCCCTGTGGTACCTGGCATTGGGGGAAATGCAGACCAGCGGCTTGAAGGAATCCTGCAGGTAAACCTCTGCAGGGAGAGGAGGTGCTGAGGGCAGCGGCAGCACCCATGGAGCAGAGCCCCAGTGCTCTGCGTGCCCTGGGCCGGGCAGGAGGCACCCGCAGCCACCCCCTCACCTCTCCAAGTCTCTATTTTGTGCTCCTCCAGCTCGTAGATCTGCACCTGGGTGCAACGACACAAACCAGGATCAACTGGGATCAAGCACGGGGTGGGCAGAGACCGGACCTGCGTCCCCTCATCCTCACCATGGGTGACTTGTAGTAGCGGTGCAGGATGTTGATGAAGTCGGTGATGGTCAGCATGCCTGGGGTGACGGGGACAGGACAGGGTGAGGGGGGTCCCGCAGCCCCCTCCAGCCCCCCCCATCCCGCTCACTCACCCACAAAGCTTTGCTTCTTGCTGTCCCAGAGTGGGGCCGCGCGGACACCGTTGGTGACCAGCGCGAAGAATGCCTTCTTCACCTGCAGTGGGGGCACGGGGGGGGGGGGTCACAGAGGGAGCAGGGCCCCCCTAGGTGCAGACCCTGCCGGGGGGGGGGGAGATGAGGAGCCTCCAGACCCACCTGAAGGGAGGTGTCAAACACAACCAGTTTGGAGCTGGTGGGGATGAGGTCGTAGCAGCGATGGGACTTCATGAATGTAGTGTAGGCACCGCGGGGGGGGCGGCCTGGGGACGGGCAGCGTGAGGTGACCCCCTCAGACTCCCCGCACCCTGGTCCTGAGCCCCCCCAGTCCCTGCAGCCCCCGGACGCCCTCCCCCCCCCCCGACGCTCCCGGTGTCACCTTCCAGTCCCGGGGGACTCAGCTCCGACGGGACCTCTGCAGCCGGGCCGGGATCGGGACCGGGGCCGGGATCCTGCGGACGGACACGGCTCGGGTCGCGGCGGTTCCGAAACCCCCGGACCCGGTTTTCCCCCGTTCCCCTCCCCTCCCGGTCCCTGTTCCCTCCCGTCCCCGATTCCCCCCGTTCCCGTCCCCTCCCGGTCCCGTTCCCTCCCGTTGCCGTTCCTCCCCGACCCGTCTCAGCTCCCGTCCCCGTTCCCGTTCCCACCTCCATGGCCCTACTCGGTCCCGCCACCTCCCCACTTCCGCCAGGCTCCGGGCAGTCACTTCCGCCACCACCGGAACCTTCCCCACCGAGCGCCCCGTCCGTTCCCGTTACCGACCTTTCCCCTCCCGTCGGGTCCCAGCACCCCAGGGGGGAGGTGTCAGCGGCTGTGGGGGCAGAACCCGCCGGAAGTCACGGAGCGGGGGGGGGGGGGCGCTAACACCGGTGCCCTCGGTTAGACCCGATGGGGCGGCCCCAAAGGGACCCGCCCGTCCCCCAAGTGCCCCCCCGCACCCCCCCCATGGAGGGAGGCAGCGGCTTCTCACGCGCTTTATTTAAAATAACATCCAGTGGTTGCGGACTCGGTAAAAACGGGGCTCGCGGCGCCGGGGCTGTACAGGGAACGCTCGCGGAACCGTTCGAACGCCCATCCCCGCCCCCACTCGCGGGTTTGTGGCTGCTTTTGTTTTTTTTTTTTTGTCCTTTTTTAACTTTTTTTTTTTTTTTAAAACATTTTCACCTTAAACCTTTTTGCAGCTTTTTTTTTTTTTTTTTTAAGGTTGCGGAAGCAGCTTTTCAATCCCCCCCCGCCCCCCCCCCATCGCTTTGCACCATCCCCATCACAACAGGGGGGGGCTGAGAGGGGGGAGTTCGGGGGGGTCCCCCCTCTGCGCGATGTGTTTGTGCGTTAAGAGATCCCGACCCCGCTGCCCCGGGGGGGGTGGGGGGGGCTGTGCCAAGGAGGGGGGGGCGCAGCCGGCAGCAGGGGGGGCCGCTGTGTAATGCCCCGTGGCTTCTCTGAGCCCCCCCCAAGCCCCCCCCCAAATAGCTCCAAAACGTCGGAGATTGGGTTGCAAAATGCCGCGGCCCCCCCCGTGCCCCCGCACCCCAAATCTCAGCCCACCAGAGCACAAAGACCCCACCCATCTCATATATACAATATAAGGTATAAATAGATAAATAACCTTCCCCCCCCCCAGTCCCCACCCTGCGCTGACAGCGGCTGCCCCCACTATGGGGGCTGATGCGAGTAAGGGCCCCCCCCCGACCCCCCCATTGCTGGGGGAGCGGGGCTGGCACACCCCTATCCCCCCTCTCGCACCTTGACACGGTGCAGGGCTGGGGACAAGGGCATCCCCCCCTGCTTTTGCCATGGAGCCCGGCAAGGGGGGCTCCTGCTGCCACATCCAAAGAGAGGAGAGGGGGGAACACATCCCCATGGAGAAGGGACCCCCCCCACCCATGGTGGGGAGGACCCGATGGGGGGGGGGCTGGGGGGGGGTGTCTCACATTTCAAAATCACAACAGAAAAGGTAGAAGAATCATAATCTAAGACGTCAAATGAGGTAGGTTTGGGTGCAGAAGCTCCTGTGTCTGCCGGGGGGGCCCTCGCTGCGGGTCTTGTCCACACGCACAAACAAGAAGAGATTCGAAAGGAACCGAGCGAGCTCTGGCCGCGGGCGGCGCAGAGCCCGGATTGTCGAGCTCAAGGAGTCTGTTACTTGGTACTTTTAGCGAGCAAAAATGTTATTAGTTTCTAAAAAAAAAAAAAAAAAAAAAAAAGAGAAAAAAAAAAGGAAAATAAAATTAAAAAGGAAAAAAACCCCCCAAAAACAACAACAAAAAAAAAACCCTAAAGTTGGGAGAGAGGAAAAAAAGCCGGATCCGGATCCGGCTCCGGTGCCGCGGCTGCTGCTGCCATCCCGCATGGAGGCGGGGGATGGAGATGGGGGGGTCTCTCTCTCTCTTGCTGGGGTCCCCCCCGACACAAACACTTGATTCCTCGCAGGACGAACCAAAGAAAACCCTGAGTTGCCAGTTCGTGCGTCCGTCCGTGCGTCCCGCGTGGGCAGGGCCGGCAGCGGCGGCTCCCTCCCCGCGGCCTGGCCCCCCCCGGCACCTCCCGTGGCCCCCAGTTGGGTCGTGGCGAGGTGGCAGTGTGGTGGGGAGGGGCATTGTGTGCGCCCCCCCCCCCCCCGGCTACTTCTTATCCCACTTAGTTCATCCACTTGCGACAGTTCCAGGCTCCACAGTGGCAGGGGATCTTGTGCTGATCGTCCTCAAAGTCGAACTGGTAGTCGTAGGTGAGCTGTGGGGGAGCACAGAGTCAGCCACAGGTCAGAGCCAGCTCCCAGGCCCCCCCCGCAAGGGTCCCTGCCTGACCTCCTCCCCCTTGGGGATACGCCGGCTGGAGATGATGATGATCTTGTCCTCCTTGTCGAAGGTCACGACTTCAGCCACGCAGTTCGGGGCGCACGAGTGGTTGATGTACCTGGAGGGGGCACAGAGAGGGGTGCTGGGGGGGTCAGCGCCCACCCGGGGGGGTCCCACCACCCCTAAAGCCCCCTCATGCTCACCTGGCAGGGCCCCCGGTCAGCGTGGCGTCAATGACGTGCTCGTTGTTGATGCGGAACATGTAGATGCCGCGGTTCTGGTGGGGTTAAGAGGGTGTCATTGGGTGCTCCCAGGCCCCCACATCCCACCAGAGACACCCCCCACATCCCATCGGATCCGCACCTGCTCCTCATAGATCTTCTCCCGCCGGTTGGCCACCTCGTTGCGGATGATGGTGCCGATGTACTCAATGACCATGGTGTGCTTCTCGATATCCTTGGCCGCGTAGAGCCCCAGTCCCTGGATGCGGGAGCGTGCCAGGTACACGTTGTTCTTCCACTCCGTCTTCAGGCGCCGGTACTGGGAGGACTTGGAGTGCACAAACTGCTTGCTGTAGGGCGTGTTGGTCTCACCGGTGAATGTGCTCTGGTAGGCCTTGGACATGCTTGTGCTGTTCAGGGTGTGGGGCCTGCCAGTGTGGGTGAGAGCAGGTCAGAGCTGAGCGATCCCGCGGGATCCTGGCTCTCCCGGGGGGTCCCGGCCCCACTCACCGCTTGTAGTGGGTGAGGATCTTGGGCTCGGAGCGGGCACAGCCGGTGGGGTTGATCATCAGCGGCAGCTCCATCAGTGGGTGCCGCCCGTACCGGAACAGGTAGTTCTGGCAGCTCTCAACGCCAGGCAGCTATGGGGAGGGGACGCTGAACGGTGGCACTGCAGCCACAGGGCCCCTTTGCAATGGGGTTGACCCCCATAGCGGAGAGGAGGCTCCCCCGAGCCCAGGCAGGACTTACCGACTCCGCGATGCGCAGCACCGCATGCACTGTGAGGCCAAAGAGCTCTTCGCCCTTCAGGTACTCGGGGAAGAGGCGCAGCATGTCAGCTTCCTTCCTCATCATCGCCACCGGCTCGATGATCCGGTTCCAGACGGCTGCAGAGGGGAAAGGAAGGGTTGGAGCCAGGGAATGCTGCAGCCCACTCGCCTCCACCTCCAGCCACCCCAGGTCTTCCGATTGCCATGTAACCACCTGTTTTGGTGCAGCTCAGCCATCAGCAGGGCAGGGGATGGAGGAAGGCAGGGGATGCAGGAGGAGACCAGAGAATGCAGGAGGAGGATGGAGGAGAAGGGCAGGGAATGAAAAAGATGGGATACAGAAGGAAGGCATGGGATGCAGGAGAGCAGCAGCCAAGCACCCGCAGCTCTTGCTTACCTTGTGGGGAGGAGTCAGAGAAGACCAGATCCTCCAGGCCCTGCTCGATGACCTGCACCACGAACTCGGGGCGGCCGTTGTTCTCGCAGATGGTGCAGCGGTAGCAGCAGCGGCGGTTGTTGGTTCGCAGGCTCCAGTAGATGCGCGTGGCCTCGTAGCCCACGGGGTAGAGGGCTGTGACACTGTGGAAATCGGCCATCTGGTGTGGCAGGAGCTGGCCGATGGCGTGGAAGACCAAGCCCCCAACACGGAACATGTGGAGCCGCTCGCCGCGCTGGATGATACTGGCGATTTGCTTCACCTCGTCCCGCTCAATGTACACACGGCGGAACACTGTAAAGCTGCTCAGCTCCTGCTCACATGGGCCCTTCAGCTTGTGCACGGGGCACAGCATGGTCTTGTCCTTGAAGAACATGCACTTGGCGCGGATGGCGCAGGCGAAGTGGTACACGCTGGGGCAGCGGATGCGGTTGCAGCTGTTGGTGGCGCCGGTTTTCTGGCACAAGGAGCACTTGGTGAGCAGCCCGCGGTGCAGAGCCACCTCCACATTGATCAGGGCCCCTCCTTGTGTCTCGTACACCTCGGTGGACCACAGGGCGCAGTTCAGGTGGACCCAGAGGTCCAGGTCGAGGTTGAGCAAGCGCGCAGGCCCATCTGTGGCGCCGTCGCCCTCCTCGTGGCAGAAGCAGCACTTGCGCAGGTCCCGTGGCACCTTCTCGGGGCGCAGCGTGGTGCCCAGCTTGTCAATGAACTCCGCAATCTCCTTGTCCCCGTCCCGCTTGGCCCCCCCTTTCTGGATGGTGACGAGGAAGCGCAACCGTTTCCACCTCACCCCCTTCCACTTCTTGAGCCGTGGCCGCGCTTCGTCCCCATCCTCAGGTGGGCGTGAGCGCGGTTTGAAGCGCGGCGGCGAGTGGAGACCCGCGGCCCCGTCCTCCTCCTGGGGGGCTGGCGATGGGCCTGGGGGTAGTGGGGACAGGAGGGCCGGGGCTGCCTCGGGGGCTGCCACAGGGTCAGGGACCCGGGCGGCCTCAGTGGGGCTGGATGGGGAGGGGACGGAGGGGGACAGCGGGGGAGAGGGCTCCTGCGGCATCACCGAGAGCTGCCGCACGTCCAGGTTGGAGACGTTGTTGACGTAGCAGTGGTGAAGGGTCTTCTCGGGCACCGGGCTCTCCTGCAGCACAGGGAGGGGGCACAGGTCAGAGCAG